CTGCAACGGGGGGTGGATGGGACCTCGTAGGTTTTGTGGAAGTGGGAATAGTCTACTTTGTACTGGTTTTTCTCCTCGAATAAGACAGGCTCGAAGCGGTGGCCCCAGAGGATCTCACTGGCCAGGTAGGAGCTCCGAGCTTGCGTCGTCATAGCGGTGGCTTCTACCATGCCTTCCAGGATGACGACGATCTCAAAGTCATCTGTCTCCAAGTCCTGGCGACTGATCCCGAACAAGGGGCTGTCTTCATTGATCTCATGGAGAATGGTGATGGGAGACACCAAGAAAATACGGTCCAAGCCTTTATCAAACCCCACATCGATGTCTATTTGGTCGAGCGGTATGTACTCCCCTTCCTCTGTGATCCTGGGCTTAATTAGCTGAGCTCGTACGTGGGCTTCTACTATGTGGCTTTTCCGGAGGTTCCCAACTCTCCACATCAGGCAGAGTTTTCCATCTCTCATTGCCACTACTGCATTATGGCTGAAAAGTAATGTCTGGGCCCGTTTTTTGGGCCTGGCCATTTTTGCCATTATTGCACCAATCATGAAAGAGTCAATTATACACCCCACGATGGACTGAACCACCACCATGAAGACCGCGAGCGGACACTCCTCCGTCACGCAGCGGAAGCCGTAACCAATAGTCGTTTGGGTTTCAATGGAGAACAGAAAAGCAGCCACAAAGCCATTGACCTGCAGAACGCAAGGCTTGAAGTTATCGTCTCCACCTGGGTTTTCTAGGTCTCCATGAATAAGTGCAATTAGCCAGAAAATCAGCCCAAACAATAACCAGGACACCAGAAATGCCAAGGAAAAGAGCAAGAGCATATACCTCCAGCGGATGTCAACGCACGTGGTGAACATGTCTGCAATGTACCTTTGTGGCTTGTCATCCATGTTGGCAAACTCCACGTTGCACTGACCATTCTTCTTTACAAACCTGTTCCTGCATTTCCTCCTGGTGTGGATTTTCCCATTGCCAAAGCCGTTGATACCTGGCATGGTGGTCAACCTCAGCCCGTCTTCCTCGGAGGACACAATGCTGTAAGGGTTGACTCTGCCTGTAGTCATCCCTGAGCCAAGTCCACAGTGAAAGTGAAGGGTCTTGCGACTCCCAATGTCCCCCTGACCCACCCCTGCCCACCCCCCAAATTCTGCTGCAGTGGAAAAGAAGTCCCAAGCTTCCACGTCTTGGCTGCCACGTCACCACGTGTATCCCGTGAGAGGCTCTGCAATGAGAAAACAGAAACACAGCTGTTACCTCTCAAGGCAAAGGACCTGAGGGTGTTTGGCCATGGCCCTGATGGGTGGGTGGCTGCATGGCCCCCACTCCTGCTGCCCTAACTCTTCCTTCCATGGCTATGCTGTTCCAAAAAAATACACAGAAGAAAGGAAGAAGGTCTTAGAGTTTCTTCTTCATGCTATAAGCAAGTGAGTAAACTTTGCTGGGCTGATGCAGCTTTTGTAGGACCCTCAACAACTCCAACCTTGGGTAGCACTGGAGTCTCTCCACTTTCCTTTTCTCATGAGCTCTGCAGCTGGAGAGGCAAGTGGAGAGGCTGAACTGTTTTCCTTAGGACACAGATATCAATAAAGGTACGTCTGGAAGCGGCTCCACCAGTTCACATTGCCTGTGCCAGATGGATCGCCGCCCAGCACAGCGTCTGACCTCCGAGGACCAGCTCTTCTGGGGTCAAGGGAAAGCATGGGGAGATGTGGACTTAACCTCCGTCCCCCCGCCCGAGGATGGAAGAGGACACAGCCAATGTGCAGCTGGTTGGAGAAGGCCCCAGGAAGGCACACGCTCGGGACAGATGTCCTGAGGAGCAACTTTCCCAACATATCCACTGGGACATGGAGCCATCTATGGTCACAGATGGGTTTTGCTGGCCAAGTCTTACAAAGAAACACTGCCACTGGGGAATGGGGAGCTGTTTTGGTCGCCTCTGGAGGGCTCAGCTGCAGGGTCAAGGACCTACACTCAACTTTGCCTGGGAGAGAGGTGACATGGACATGGGAGACATGGCCCAAGCTGGATGGGCTCCCTGCTGCAGGTGAACCCATGGAGGGGGAATCGAGTGGCACACTACCAGGCTGCTGGACCTCCCTGCCCCTCATGGGGCTGTATCAAGGAGTGGACAGGATTGTGGAGAAGCCATGTGGCATGTCCCAAGCACCCCAAGGAGATGGCACTGCAGGAACACTTCCCAACCCACCCGTTACCACCGTTTACCCTATTATTTAGCGACATGGGATGTGTCACTGGGGATGGAACCCCTTTGCTGGCAATGAGACCTGCACGAGGCAGCAGCACCGTGGTGGATCAGGTGCAGAGCCCCCCGTGACACCCAGTCCTTGCAGCACAGGCACTAGCTCCCGCCTACAGGCACAGGCGAACCCGACGGGCTGTACATGCTGTGTCGGATCCGCTGGCCCAGTCGATGCAGTCGATTCCTGCAATCAGCTCCAGTGCCCGAGGACATGCTGGGACAAGAACACCCTTTCCATTACATAGTGGCCAGGACCAGCCAGCGCCAGCACTGTGGAGCATTGCCAGTCATCAGCCCAGCTCGCAATGATACCCTGGACTGTCTTTTACTGAAACACTCCCCAAATCCAGCCTGGGAATCAGGAATCCCTCCAGAGGCCCAGTATCACAAGTAGAAGCCCTAACAACCTGCCCAAATCACCCAGATGCTAGACACAGACCCATGAATGCCACCACCTTATACATCAAACAGTGTGTTTCCAGGCACAACCATTTTTAATCCCCAACGCAGATTTTTTGAGAGTCACAGTTATTTGTTGGCATCTCAGCAAACCAAGGGATTGCTCACACATGGCTGAGGCCATCAGCACAAGATCCTCTCCTTCTTTAGAGTCTCGGGGAAGAAAAAAAATAGGCACAAACAGTTAATATTAGTGGTGAATATTTACAACCTTATAGTCACTGAAAGTCAAACGGGACCAAAGTGGCCTTACAGAGCTGACCTGTCAGGCAGACTGTCCAGCTCCAACCTGGTCTCCAACCCTCTGTCTTCCTCCTGACCATCCTGGCTACATCAACTGGTTTCACTTATTTTTTTTTACGAGAGTTGAGTATCTGGTGGCACAAAAGGCTGCCTCTCCATCACCCCTCTGACTCGGCCCAGGGGAATACACTGAACGCTTTTGTCACAGGATGAATTTAGAGTTGGGGTTTTTTAATTAATTCTAGATGCATTTGAGAAGTGAACAAAATGCAATGAGCTCCCAGTGACCTGCGAGAGGATTAGCTGGGGTCTGGATTAACTGTGCTGGAAGGGGACATGTGCTCAGCTGACTGCAGAGGCAGCAGCACTGCCCTCACCTGCAGTGAGGTTCACAGGGACCCTTGGTCTCCCCCATCACCACCACCTCTCCCCATTGCCTGCACCCTTCCTTCCTTCCTTCCTTCCTTCTTCCTTCCTTCCTTCCTTCCTTCCTTCCTTCCTTCCTTCCTTCCTTCCTTCCTTCCTTCCTTCCTTCCTTCCTTCCTTCCCTTCCTTCTTCCTCCCTTCCTCCCTTCCTTCCTTCCTTTCCCTTTCTCTTTCACTTTCTCTTCCACTTTCCCTTTTCCTTCTTTTCCTTTTCCTTTCCCTTTCCTCTCTCTCCTCTCACATCACACAGGGTTTCATGGACCCCTCTGCTGTGGGGCAATCCTGGGAAAGACCCAAGGGGCTGATGCTGCTCCAGGCACAGGACAGCTCTTGTGACTCAGACCATGTCCCACATGAGATTCACATTCACTGAGGCACAGGACTGAGTCTTTCCCAAAGCACTGAAGCTCCTGGCGGGAGACAAACTGCCCCTGTCCCAGGCCAGCAGTGGCAGCATGGGGAGACAGCAGCTAAATAAAGGCAGCAAAGTGGATCTGCCGGAGCAGGCGGAAAAAGTACTTTATTTAGCACAGTTTTGTTTGGAAATACACTTTCTGGAGGTTGCTGAAAGCTGAATTTCTGGTTTGGTTTAAATTTGAAGGCTGGAGCCCCACGCTGCCGCTGCGGGAGGCTCAGGCTGGGAGAGGACTTGTGCAAACACACGGAAACCCATGGCTGGATGGGCTCTGCCAGGGGACCGGCTGGGGACCACATCCCCGTGGTCACCCTACCGCTGCTTGGATCAGGAGAGCATCCTCCAACTTCACCCTGGCATCTTCCCACATCCAAAATTGCCCCAGAGGGCTGGCAGAGATGTTACAGGGGGTCACATCCCCCTCCCTGCTTCCTTCCCCGGAGTTTCACACCCCTGACCATCACAATGTTACCTCATAGCCACAACATCAAAACTTTCCCTAATAACCACTGCCTGTTAATCCCATGCCCAGCTTCAGAGGAGACAAACCCACGCTGGGTGTCAGGCAGGTCCAGGACCATCCCCTGCCGCTCATGCCACGCGTCTTGTGCAGAGCTAATAGTGTTAACATGTAGGAAACAAAACAGGCTCATGATATTCGTTACGGGAATGAACGGCCCTGGCTCCCCGTGGCTCCGGAGGCAGCGACGCCGCAGACTGCCCCAGCTAATGAGCTGACATGAGAGGCAACAACTCCTGCCATGAAATTGCAGCAACCCAACTCCCACCGCGGAGCAGATTCCCGCAGAGACTCCAAGTGTCTCCAGCAATCTGCCAACTGCACAGTTAATTTTATTTATTTTATTTTTTTAAAGGGGATGTTAAATGTTACAACAATATTGGGAACAGCCAGCACGCTGGGAAAATGTGTCGAGTGCTGGGGAGGTCATTAGTTAGAGCCGGCTGAATATGTCAGTGCGATTTATCATCACACCTTTCCCTGTACCTCTGGAGGGGATGTGTTTTGGGGCCATCAGGGCTGCTGCCCCCCTCCTTCAGCCTCCCAGCTTGGATTTTCTCACGGAAGCATGCAGAGAACCAAGCTGCATTCAGGTGGAATCGACCCAGTAGAGACTCAGAGGAGCTGAGTTAGGGGATGCAGGATGCAGGCACAGGAGAGGTGATGGTCCAGGAGGGGATGGTGTGAGGAGGTCACACTTGGTGCTGCTGCCTGCCCTGTGCAGGAAGATAACACTGCCCTGTGCTGGGAGATAACGCTGCTATCTCCTGCAGCAATGCCCTTCATGCCCCAGCAGTGGGACAGCAATGTCAGCAGTGAGGAGGGAGCTCCACTCCTGGCATGGGGCTGTGGCCATGCGGCTCATCCTGTCCCTGCTAAGCAACTCAGCACTGAGCACCCACAAAGTGAGGGGAGGGCAGTGGAGCTGGGGGGTCCCCAAGGCGTGCCAGGGCAGCACCAATGCCTGAAAAACTCGGTCTACAACGTCCCATCTTCAGATGCTTCCAATACATTAAGGGTCAGCACGAGGCAGGCCAGGTGGTGATGTTTGCAGAGAATAAATGGCCTCTTGTTTCCCCTCATCTGCCAGGGAGGACAGGCCAGAGGATCCCACTGCAGTGCATCCCTAATGAGTCAAAGCTGCTCCATTTTGTCAGGGACATGAGGAGAAAACTGTTGTGGGCACACACCCCTCCCCTGGACCCCTGCACACCCGCCTGGTGCCAGCGAGCAGCCAAGAAATGCTGTCTGCAAGCCTTGATGACACACACAAAAGGGAAACTGAGGCACAGGGGACACAAGGTAGGCCCTTGGTGGGAAGGCTGGAGGTGACAGGGTGCCTGAAGGGATCCTGGCTCATCCCTGAGCCACATGTAGGTGCCACGGGCATGGGAGAAGTAAAAGGGCCATGTGCAGTGTTCGTCACCACTGGGGCCAGGTGGCCTCTGCAGGGTGATGGGCTTGTGCTTAAGCACCCTAAAACTCCTGCTAAATGTACTCTGGATCAGGGAGATCCTGGGAAAGATCCTTTCAGAGGTTGCACAGAGCCCATGATTGGTTTCCAACTCCATGGTGTGACGCAGGGAATGAGCATTCCAGTCCATCTGCCTCCATGTCTATTCAAGCTCCAGCACCCAGCCCTGTTCCAGCACCCACATCCTGCAGTGACAGGACCTCAGGTCTGTACATCCACCCCTGCTGCCCCTCACCACTCCCAGGTGATGTCCCCCCTGCTGGG